GAAGAACAATGCAAGGTGTTTTTCCTACAGCCGGCCACACAGGGACCTAGTTCTCCCCACACCTGCTGGTCTGTACAACCTCCTTTCTCATGTCAACATTCCCTTAGTGGCATTTTGTTGGGGATCATCCTCGTTTACATGGAGAGGACAGGGGTCTAGAGGCAGATAGCTCAATATCATCCAACTGGACTCTTACGCCCTGTACCTTACAGCTACTCCCATGAGCACCTGGGCTCATCCACACTCACAGGCACCTCAAAGAGTCCTCTCCTTGTTCTCTTCTGGAAACAGACAGTCAGAATCCCAGACCGCTTCCCCTTAGGACTCTGTGTAAGGAATTTTTAACATCCGTTTCCCAGTCTAGCATCCAAATGTATGATCTTGTAGTGCAAAGTGCATTTGCAGCTGCACAGCTGTCCTTGCTCTCCACCTCCGGGCTTCTCAGCTTCCTAAAGCTCTTTCCCCATGAAAAAGTGACCCCCACCCCAGCCCCTGACACCCAGCATTCTACTCCCTGCCTCTACATCTGGTGCCTCGTAAGGCCCGTGTATTATGGAAGCTGTGATGGCTATTTCACTTGTATAATGTCTGCCAGTTTCACCCAGGATCTAGCAGTATCAAAATGTCCTTCCCTCTTATGGCTGAGAAATGTCCCACCACGTAGAAGACTGCATTTTATCGTTCCCATCACAGAACGGCCGACCTAAGTGTTGTTTCCACGGTTTAGCTATTATGAATAGCGCTGTGGCCGCGGGCGTGCAGATCTCTCCGCGGCCTCACTTTCAATGCTTTCAGGCACGTGCCCAAACAAGCAACAGTCGGATCATAGCTCCACTCGCTGTTCACATTCTGAGGCCCATCCATGCTGCCTCCTGCGGTGGCTGTGCCATTTTCCATCCCACCAGCTATGCGCGGGACGCCAGCTTCCTGCCTCCTTCCCCACGCGGCATTCGCTTTCTGCTTTCGATTGGAAATAGCGAGCCTAGGGCCTCTGCAAGCGCTCCGCACAGTATCTCTCCGTGACTTTTCTTACTAAAATAAGAAAATAATAACTTCTCATTTTGCAACTGGTCCCATGCAAGGTTGAAGGAGTGGGTGGGTGTCACATAGCTAGTGGGTGTCTGGTGTATCCCAGGCCAGTCCTCTTAAGCTCGCCAAGATTAAGCTTCTAGCCAAAAGAATATTTCATGTCTCAGTCATGTCTTATCAGATAAATGTATCTGGGAATGAAAGAATTAATGAGTAAATACTGTGTGTGCAGGCTTGTCTAACGGCGATCTTGGACTATTCCAGCAGCCACCCATGAATTACACTTAGACTGAAGGGATGGGATAGCCAGTGGCTGGGATCTGGGAGTGCATTTCCTGGGAACAGAACCCTGGGAAAAAGGTGCAGAAGGAGCAGAGGCTCCATCTGGCAGGCAAGGCTAGCACGTTCCACTCTGATCCAGAGCAATCAAGCAAGGTTGTAAAGGGAATACTGAAGGCAGAGGCCAGGGGCAGAGGCAGGGGGACCTCACTGTTCCCCAGTGGCCTGGCTGACTTCTCAGCACAAAGGACAGAGAGAAGACTGACAGGGAGGCATGGGGATGGCAGCTCTGGCTGATCATGCATCAGCCCATCTTGATTTGCATGTGTCTTCCCTGGCTCGCATTAACCAGCCACACAGCCTGCCTAGAATTAATCAGCATTGCCCTCCCACTGGGCTCTGCTAAGACAAGTTTATTTCCACGGCCTGAGGCAGGTGGAAGGTGGGCTGCTTGCTGCCTCTTCCTAGAGCAGGTTCCACCCAACTCTAAATACACACCTATTTCCAGCCCCATATGTGTGCATGTGTGTGTGTGTGTGTGTGTGTGTGTGTGTGTGTGTGTGTGAACTTCCGGAAAGCACAGTGCTCAGCCTGCACTCTGCATGAGTTTCTGAGGAAGGGGTTAAAGGGAACCTCCATATTCCCCGTTACCACAGAGCTTGTCCAACTGACCTCCTCAGGAAAGGATGGCCCAAGAAGAACCAGAAGAGTCCAGAGCTTATTCTCAGCATGAAGACAAATGCTGCACTGTCAGCTCCATCCATAGGCAAAGACTACAGGGTGAGAAGAAGGGAAGAGCATCCTGTATCCTTTCCTCCAGATGTGCACAGTCATGTGCTCAAGTAAGCACAGGTGTACACATGGTGATGAAAATAGACATCTGTTCTTGCATATACACAAGCTTGCACACCCACGCACAAGGATGAATGCAACCATTTGCATACACACACACACAGACAGATACAGAGCGAGAGAGACAGAGATAGAGTCAGACAGAGGGGGGGGGGTCTGGCTTGCTTGGGAAAAGAGTATGGAAACCAGATCATGAAGGAAGACTGCATATGGTCCATAGGAAAGGAGCAGGAAATTCAGGAATACTGTGTGTACATATATACATGTATGTGATTATAGGCTTATATTGCACCCCCAATCATGTCTTTGCCACTCTCTATCATGCCATGGCTCCTACCATGAGCTCTGGGACTAAGCAGGACTGAGCTCCCTGCAAGAGACGATCTCTGGGTTTTAGGTGGAACCAGATGCTGAATCACAAACCCTAGATGTCAATGGAGGAAGAGCTGGCGACTTTAGAGCAGGGCCAGTCCTCGGGATGATAATATTCTCACCTAAAAGCTGACCACAGGCCATTAGCATAAGCCCTGTAGATTCTACCTTGTACTGCCCTATTTAGTGCAGATGGCACCTGCTGGTGGTCAGCCAGACCAGGAGGAAACCTGAGATGAGGGTGGGAAGAGCCACATGTGTGCCTATACACACAGAACTTCCATGTGCTCTCTACCACATGTGTGACTGATTCTTAATGGGTCTGTCCCATGTTGCCAGCCTTAACCCAGTGCAGTCATCAGGGCCTCCCAGCTACCATCCTTGAGCTGATAAGAAAGTGAAGCTTAGAATGATGTCATCACCCAAGGTCATGGAGGTCAGCAATTGGGATCTGGGCTTAAGCCACTTGGGCTAATGATGCCTGTGACGAGGAGGGTCCTTTAAGTGGTGCTGGCGTGGGATGGGCCACCACCTCCAGAAAGGGCCAGTTCCCAGAGAGTCAGAGCAATGTAGGTCACCAATAGATGGAGGAGACCAGGACAGTACTCTGCAGAAGGCACAATAGTGATCAGCTGATCCATCCTTTTGTCCAAGGTCAATATTCACTCACCTCTAAACTCAGTGGGAAAAGCCTTCAATATGAGGTTTCCAAACACATAATAGGACACAGGTTTGATGGGGCCACCCTGCACCTGGGTTCCAGAGGATGCCATTGTCCACCCTCAGCCATTGGGCATGGCTTACAACTTCCTGCCTCTCCACACACAGGGCCTCAGGAGAACAAACCCGCTGACCACAGAGAGGTGTTGCTGCGAGTTCCTGTGGCAAGGCTTAGAAGCCATTGCATCAACAGAATAGAAACCACTCTCCTGATGTCATCAATGGGGTGTGTCCTCTGTGTTTATGGGTGTCTCTACAGATGGGTTGTATGTGTATTTGAATTGAGAGGCAGGTTTTGAGGGGTCCTGTCAATGTGTAGTGGTACGGATTAACAGTGGCATTCGTTCCCCGCGCCACCCCACCCCCACCCCATCTCACACGTAGGAGCTCTGCCCACAGTGATAGGTGGAGGAGTCATTGGGAAAAGCCTAGAAATGGCCTTTTCCTGCTACATCTGCTCACACTCTGACACTGGCTACCATGGCCCTGGGCAGCTAGCTGGGTCAACCCGTCTCAAGGCCGGTTTCCTTTCTGGCTGTTTCATGATGGATCAGAACCATGTAGAATAATCCACAGTACAGAGCTGGCAGACAGCATCTGTATTATAGTGTAACATGTCTGTTCCCTACAGTTCCGATAGCATCCATAAATCCAAAGCTTGGAGATGAACGAGCATGTTTTTTATCAAGAGCTCTGTGTGCACCAAGCAGGCATTTCCTGTTGCCACATCACCATGTCTGTCAGTCTGAATGGGTTTGAGGTGACGTCACGCTGATTGGTTCATTACAAACTCTGTTCCCTTCCTCATGATGGGTGGCCAACCACAGGAAACTTGATTTGCTTGAGTGGAGTGCTGGGGCCTCCCTCCTCCCAGGCACTCCTCAGCTAATGGACCCAAGAAAGCATCTTCTCATAGTAGTACAGTCTCCAGGGAAGACAACACAATGCTTGCTTCCTCCTTTGTCCTCACCCATTTCTGGAATGGTGTTTGGATGCCCCCACACCTGACCCAGTAACGGACATGGCTTTCTTCAGCTCACTACGCACTCATGTGTTTGGGGGTGTTGTGCAGACTCAACTTTAATTGAGTCATGTAATTGTTACACCCACAGCATCTCTTTGTTTACTATCAGGAGCACCTTTAAGCTACAGACTTTTCTAAACTGTTTCATTTAAAAAATAATATTAAGCTAGTCACACGGACCAGTGGATAGAGACGCCTTCCACCAAGCTTGACAACATGAGTTAATCTCCAGAACCCAGATAGTGAAGGAGGCAACTGAATCCGACAATTGCTTTCTGACCTCCATACGTGCACTGTGGCACGGGTGCGCACACACACACACACACACACACACACACACCACACAAATAAATAAAAATAAACGGAAAAACTTTAAATCCTCACTATTCCCGTAATGTTCACCTTTCAGTTTATCAAAAGCCAATCTTGTTGGGCCTCTTGGGCCCCTATTTCCCATATTCCCCTCCGTTTAGCCACATTCCCCCTACAGTCTGGATACCATCCCCAAAATGTTCCTGCCACTTGATCCTTTCTCATTTGACCTTTGAGGGGGATACTGTCTTTACCACACTTCTGAGGGCAGACCCTGGGGGCAGCTAGCCCTGCATCAGAAGCAGCTCATGTGATATAGGACCACAGGAGGAACAGAAAGGAGAGAGACAGGACTCTCGTCAGGTTGTGCCTAAGTCCCGAGACCCCCAAGAGGACCACCACGAAGCCACACTTCCAAATGCAAAAGCAAAGTTTTGTTTATTGAGTACAGGCTAGCACGGGTCCCCTGCCTCACAGTCTGACACAGCAGATGGAGGGAGAAGGACCCTGCCTACTATTGTAAGGGGTTTATAAAGACACAAACCACATAGCAGTCACACGATTACAGTCTCAAAATACAAAATTACTTATCCTATATTATAATTGGCTAAAGGTTAAGTAAAGCTTAGCTGTTATTCTCTGATAGATTGTCATTGCCTGCGGGAGGGGTTGTTCACCGGTAGCAACTGTCCCCTAATCACGTCCTTGGGACATCTGCTGACCATTTGCTAACTAACCACTGGGGCTGCTCGGAAACTTATCTGATTGGTCCCTTGTCACCCAGCTGATAGGGGAAGTTAGGTCTCAGCATCTTGTCAGCAGTTTTGTGTAGCTTGGGTTCTTCCATTAGCTAACACATCCCCTCAAAGGGGGCTAGAGACCCCCGGCTTTCCTTCTCGCTGGGAAAGGATGACTGTGGCCACCCACAGAATCACTTTGCTTCTTTCTGATGGCTTTCCATTGAAAACATGGTCTGGAGTGCACCCGGCACTCAGAACTTGCAGGATTTCTGCAGAGCACTTTCTTGGGGTCCACACCCATCCCACCTTTTCTCCACATTTTACCTGGCCCCTGTTTAATGTGGGACACAGGGCAAGAAGGACCCGGTGTCTTAGATTTCTTTCAAAGAGAAAAAGCCAGCCACATCCGTAATCCCAGGTGATAGATACTTGGATGGTAGAGGCAGGAGGGTCACAGGTTCAAGGACAGACTGCCTCAGAAAACTTGGGGCTGGGGAAAGTAGCTCAGGGCTACAGTAATTGCCTAGCATAGGCAAGGCTTCTGGCTCTCTCCTCAGTACCACAAGCAAAATGAAATAACAGCAACAAAAGGGAATAAGAAGAAAAGAAAAAAAAAAGAAACAGAGGAAAGTCTCTTTCACTTACAGTGTGTAGACTTTCACAATAAATCTGATAAAAACATCACCAAAAGGGAAAGGGAAATGCAAGCTGGCATGCATTTAGAATTCTATGGCATGTACCCACAAATTCAGGGAAAAGGGACAAACCGAAAAAATTTTTTTGTTATATAAAACAAAAAATTAACATTAAATTATTTATACAAATTCCTTCCCAAAAGATCCGCTGCATCCTATAGTCACAGAGACAGCATGTAGGTCTCTTCCTAACCCATCTCTAAGTCTCTGTCCCCTGAGACTTGACAGGAGAGGGTCTGTGGCTGAACCCAGGGACTCTTGCCAGCAGGCCACAGTCTCATGACCACCTCCTGGACCTCAGAGGCTGCCACAGCAGCTGGTGTCAGCAGCTGCCTCCAGGGTACCCTCTGAAGCCAAAGGCTTTGTGTCCTTCTCAGACAGGACCGATGGTGGCCCACAGAGTACTGCTTGGCAGAAACCTGGGGGCAGCCGGCATTACATCCAAGGCTGGTTCTCTTCTTCACTTTTGTGAGGCTTGGGTGAGACGCACACTGTGTGAGGAGACAGGGCAGTACAGAGGCTTGGTTGGACACACCGGTGGTAGGCTTGTCACTCTGACCCCAAATCAGGCCAGTCGTGTCTCCAAGGAATCCCGGGTCCTCTGCTGAGAAAAGAATTAGTAGGGACTATGATCTTTCCTGCTAAGAGCATCAACTGAGCCTATATCCCATCAAGGCCTTTTCTCAGTGTGGAAGGAGAGAGAGAGAGAGAGAGAGAGAGAGAGAGAGAGAGAGAGAGAGAGAGAGAGAGAGACTTTATGAGAAAATACATCAAACCTTAGTGTCAGCACCAGAGCAAACAGAAGACTACTGAATTTTAATTTATTTCATTCTGGGCTTGAGTCTCTATCTCATTTTTGTTTGTTTGTTTGCTTTTTAACATTATCATCTTTATACAGAAACACTTTGCCCCATTGTGTGTGTTTGCAGCCCTCACACATTTTGAGAATAACAGCACCAGCAGACACACAACACAGCAGCCTGACACGCAAAGACTCTGTAAAATGGCCTTATCGCTACTCATTAGTAAAGCTCGGAAGGGCTACACGGTATTCCAAAGATACCTAGCCTAAGCCACCACGAGACCAGCAGGAATCTTCCAGCTCCACTGGCACCCATAGACTCACAAGAGCTAGGGCAAGGCGAGCCTGCTGTGGTAGGTTATGGCTACAGTGTGGTGACAGTCTATCAGATGGCTCTTTGGGTTTGTGTTAGGATAAAAGAACACACAGTGGGGGCTGGAAGGATGGAGAAGCAGCAGTTGGGGTTTGCACTGCTGATTCAAAGAAGGGAGAATTGGGCTTGCTTCTCTCTAAGTCCAGTGGTCCATGGAGTGGGTGCTGTATCAGGAGTAGGGGCCAGCAGGCAGAGGTAGCAGCCTAGCAGGGCAGGTAGGAGGAGCAGGAGGATGGGAGGCAAAGGCTGACTGATGACCAAGGGTGGTTGGTACCACCTAATACCTCCCAGACAGTGGCTCTGGGTGTGAACACCATTCAGCCCCTATCACTTGGCACTGGGGGCATCACCACAACCTGAGGGTCCTATACTGCATCAACCTTGGACTCCAACCAGCCCGCAGCCTGACTGCCCATCACCTCCATCATTCCTGGGGGAACCACGTGGGTTTGATTGATCTGGCTTCTGGGCAGAAGAGCTGAGGGAATAGCTCAGCTGTGTCCCAGGCAGGTCCCACTCAGGTGTGGGGAAAGTTAGCCAATGTATCACGGCACGGAGAGGGGCAGGAGGCAGGGCAAGTCCTGCAGCACAAACTAAAGGCAGAGGCAGGGAGCTAACAGAGCTTTTTGTTAGTGTATTTTTCCATGTTTACAACAGAAGATTCTGAGCAAAAGCCCATGAACAGGGAATTCAGAGCAGGCAGCCTGGAAGCCTAGACCCCATCTTCCCCTCCTCTGAGCATCTCTGTGCACTAACTAGCTTTGGGTCACCCCAGGGAGTCAGCAGCCTGAATCTTTATGAGTATGTGTTGAACATCTACCTGGATCAGGGATGCCCCCGGTGAGAGTAACTCAAGGGAGCTGACCTGCAGGCAGGGAAGTTATCTATAGTCAAATCCTTACTCTGCCTGAGGTGATAGTTTTGCACTTTCCGTAATCAGCATCTCCAGTAAGATCAGGATGCTATACCCACGCCCAGCTTCCTAGGCCAATTCTTGGATGGGCAACTACACAGAAGAAAGTAGCCAAAGTACTGGGAGAAAGAATTGAGAGGGGAGAAAATGACTTTTAAATGCCAGAGGGGAAACCCTCTAATTGCATTAGAAGTATCAATTTGCAGTACTTTATAGTGGCTAAAACAGCTGGTGAGATTGTTGAGGAAATGCAGACTTGACTCTTTGGGAGCTGATTCAGGAATGCCTACCAGGATAAAGATGCTCGGAACTCGAAGCCAGGCATTTCCCCTCCCGCACATGCATCTGTGCACAAAGCCCGGGCTATGCACTGCAGCGCTTCCCTTTGTAAGCTACTGGAAACAGCTTCTAGGATCCTCGGTAGAGAATCAGCTAACATGCACAGTGGAAGGACAGCGGTGGGTAAAGAGTGAGCAAAGTCCATCAAAAACGACAGAGACGTAAACAGAAATGGAGAAAGCAGAGTGTGTGATGTGTATCATGCTTGCGTCTGCAAAACAAGCGAGCTTGGTGTGTGCTTATATGTGTATATGTATATACATAAAAGCACGTGTGAAGGTGTGCATATGTATGTGTGCAATGTGTGTATTTTCTCAAATATAAGTGCATATTTATGTAACGTGTAAATATGTTGTATGTGTGTGTGTATATGTACCTATCAGTATCGTTCATCTTAGTTAGGGTTCTATTGCTGTGATAAACGCCATGAGAGAAAACAACTTGGAGAGGTACGAAGAGGGGCAAGAGCCAGGGCGAGTCCTGCTGCGTAACTTACAGCTTACAGCACAACATCAGCCTACAGCTCTCAGGTTACACTCCATGGATGAGAGAAGTCAGGGCAGGAACTCAAGAACCTAGAGACAGGATCTGAAGCAGAAGCCATGGAGGAGTGATCCTTACCAGCTTACTCCTCCTGGATTGCTCAGCCTGATTTCTTATAGCACCCAGGACCACCATCCCAGGGGAGGGACCACCCACAGTGAGCTGGGCCCTCACACAGCAACCATTATTCAAGAAAATGCCCCCATAGATTGGTCCACAAGCCAGTCTGGTGGGGGCATTTTCTCAGCTGAGGTTCCCTCTTCCAAAATGAGCCTAGCTTGTGTCAAGTGGACTTAAAATTATCCAGGACATTGTCTATTCATTTCTGTATGTATTCACACAATCATCCATCCCTACCCATTTATTCATTCATTCATCCATCCATCTGTTCATCAATGAATGAATGGATTAATGAATTTACCTACTCATCTACCCATACTTGCATTCATCCATCAATCAATCCATCCATCCATCTATCCATTATATGGCTACCCACCCATCTATTCATCTACCCATCTAATCATCTACTCATTAGCCCTTGTATCCATCTATTTATAAATCAATCCATCCATCAGCCCACCCATCCAATTGCCCATCCATCCGTCCATCTACCATCCATCTATCTGCCCATCCATCCATGACCTCCTCCAATTTTTAGAACTGGAACAGTGGTGGGAGGGAAGAGAAGTTAGAGGAAATGGGAGACTGTGAAGAACAAACTCCACAGAGTTGTCCACTGACGTTCATGTGCCTGCCCCTATATACACATCACACACAAATAATAAATTATTTTTTGAAGCTGTGTGCCCTCCAGAGAGACCTTGTCAATTACTGAAAGATGGACAGATTCAAAGCGAGTTAGGAGAGATGGGCTGCTCACATTCTGACCACATTGCTACCTGCTAGTTCTAAAGGTGGATGAAGAGGAAAACCAGCCCACTGATGGAGTGGGTCCCACACAGGGCTTACCTGGAAGGCTAGTTCAGCTGAAGAAGCTTGACCGGAAGTAAAATGAGCTCCCAAGCGCTCCATACCCGGCAGACTCTTGCCTGGTAGACATCTACTCAGAGAGATAAGTGTGGGAGTCTGAATGTAATTGGCCCCCAGAAGCTCATAGAGAGTGGCACTATTAGAAGGTGTGGCCTTGTTGAAGTAGGTGTGGCCTTGTTGAAGGAAGTGTGCGCTTTACGGTCTCCTATGCTCAAGCTATGTCTAGCTCAGTTCACTTTCTGTTGCCTACAGATCAAGATGTAGGAGTCTCAGCTTCTTCTCCAGCACCATGTCTGCCTGCACACCACCGTGTCCCACCATGATGATAATGGACTAAACCTCTGAACTGTAAGCCACTCTGATTAAATGTTCTCCTTTATAATAATTGCTGTGTCTCTTCACAGCAATAGAAACCCTAACTAAGACGATGGGTCATGCTTGCTATGACAGGATTCAGCCTCTGGCCCTTCTCTCTCAATCCTCTGTCTCCTGGACTGATGGCTAGAAGCGGATGCCTGGAGTTCTGGGGTGAGGACTGAGCTGACTGGGACTGCAACCACAGTCGCAGGAGCAGAGGGGACAAGGGTGAGCAAACCTGGAATGCAGGAGGAAGTCAGCTAGACCTGGGGCATCATAGACACTTCAGAGAAAATGATTCTGCATTGATCCTGGCATCCTAAGTCCACACAGGGCTACTCGGGTGGCGCATATAGCAAACGGGCTCAGATGCAGCAGGAAAACACAGACACCTGCCGTATACCCACATTTGTAAGGGAGGATGCTTGCGAATGCGGCTGCCCACTCGCCAGCTTGAGCGCCAAGCTGCCTTTATTCTCTCCGCGTAACATACATCCTACATTCTCGCAGCACGACTCTCGCGGCAAGCTCCGAGAAATCAATGTCAACAGCAATTTGACTGAGTGTAGAATGTTTTCATTCCGCCCCCGCTCTTCACACTCCTAAATTTGCCTAGATGGATAATTAAAGGACTATTTCATCTGGTATTTGGAGAATCCAGGCTGCTGGGATGAAGGCTGGGGTGCTTAGGTTAAGGGAAGGGTATGAAATTACCGACCGTGAGTCTGCAAGTTCCCAGGGCATCCTGACTGGGTACAAGCCAGAGAAAAGGGAGTCTACTAAGGAATGCTACATCTTGCTGCAGGGAATTGGAGGGAGCTGCTGAAAACAGTGAGCTGATAATTGATCTCTTTAATCTCTCTCTCTCTCTCTCTCTCTCTCTCACACACACACACACACACACACACACACACACACACACACGACACAATGCAAACCAGCCACAGCCACTGCCCCCTGGGTAGGGACACCAATGACTTGGAAAACCTATTCCGTGGGTGCTCATCTGCAAACAAGTTTGGCCAGGACAGCGTGCAGGAGGGGGGGCAGCGTTAGCCATCTGCACCAGAGCCTGGTTCAGCTGGGGACTGGGCGGATTCCTGGAGTGGGTGCTATCGCCATTCACAGTCTCATTTCCAGGAATAAAATCAGTTCTACCAAAAACCTCATTCCCTCATCCTCCCCAGAAGCAGATGGGCGGGACAAAAGCAATCATAGGCACTTTGACTTGCTAACCCGATGCTGCCAACAGTCACCACCCACTCCTATTTCTGCAAAGATGAGAAATCTCTGTGAGGCCAGAAACCAAGAGCTCCTTAGGGTGCAGCAACTGTGAGGACCTTGGCCTAGACCCCCACGGCGCCACCCTACATCCAACAAGACTATTTTCAAGTCAAAGTTGAGAAGCTTCCATCCCTGAATGAGAGATGGTGCTTCTATCAGCCTGAGACAGGGAGTCAGCCTGACTACTGGACATGGGTCAACGAAGAGAGCCTTTGAGGAGAACTTAGGCATATGTCAGCATGATAGGCCAGGAAACGAACACAACCATCCCCCAACAGATGTCAACTAGGATGAGGGAGTGCCAGGTTAAAGGAGGGGCCGGAAGGACCAAGCAGACTTAGGTGATCCAGAAGACAGCAACTGTAACTCTTCTCAGTCTTGGCCTCAGGACTACACTGAATGACAAGGACAAAGGATGCCCAAGCCCCTGACCCTCAACAGCCACCACCTGCAGCTTGCAAGGAAGCCTGCTCATCATCGAGGCTCTTGTCTACTGATTCACATTTGTTCCCCAAGCAGCAGCTGGCACCTGTTCCAGATGTAGGAGGAGGCAAGCTGCTGGGCTCACACTGAGTCAGTCAGAAATGATACCCAGTGCAAGGCTGGCAGACGTCTTGACTTACTGGGAGCTCAGGAGAAGCCAGCTATGACTCCTTTCCACTCGTCCTGATCTGCACACACATCACAGCCAGAGAGAGCCATGCGGACGTCCTCAGCTAATATCCCATGGATGCTGGCTTCGCTTCTGCACGAATCCTTGCTCTGCATGCTTCATATTCTTACCTCAAGTTAAAGCCTGGGACAGGGATGCTTCAGGGCACGGCTCAGACAGTATCTACCACGCAAGCTGAAGGAACTGGGTCCAGTTCCCCAGTGCCCATGTGAAAAGTTGAGTGTGGTAAAATACACATCTATTGCAGAACCATGGTGAGGTGGGGATAGAGTTGGAGACAGGAAGATCCCCAGATTTCACTGTTTAGCTAATCTAGCTGAATCAGTGAGCTCCAGGTTCAGTGAGAGACCGTGTGTCAAAAAATAAGGTGGACAGCAATTGAGGAAGGCACCTAATATCAAACGCTGGCCTCTGTACACTGTGCATCCACACAATACACACTAGTACAGGAGCATGTACACACACATACACACAAATACAGGAGCATGTACACACACATACACACAAATACAGGAACATATACACACACATACACACAAATACGGGAGCATGTACACACACATACACACATACAGGCTATGTACAGACATGCACACAAATACAGGTGCATACAAACACACACATACAAGATGGACCTAGCTTCAGGACAGCTCTTCCTCCTACCCAACTAACCTCCCTTGGCCTGTCCCAGTAAGTCCCTGAGGCTTGCAGTCATCAGCCCAGGGGACCGGGCACTCAGGATACTGAGAAGAAAATACAGCACAATGAGCTATGCCACCTCAGTAAGAAAGTGGATCTCCAGGCAGGCGAGGAAAGTTTCCACCACGTTGGGATTTTCAAACCTCAGATTTCCACACACACATTTTGTCCTCCTTGGGTGTAACAGGTAAAGTCACCAGACCAAGTGAGCCAAAGCACTTTCCCGAGAACCACATGCCGCTGTCACTGTGTGCGTGTAAACTCTTATGATAGTGTCTACTATGAGCAAAACAATAGGAAGAGTAAACAGGACACGACTCAGCCTTGCAAATGGAGCAAGTGCTTGAGAATAATTCCTATTAACTGCTCTGAGCTCTGGAAGACTGGCAAGGAGGGAACTGAGTGTTTAGTTAACGTTAATCCACAACCACACAGCTGCTGCAACAGATGAGCTTCTCCAGTGTGGCTGCCCTGTGCACTCTTTCATTCACGCTGCCTCTGGAGGGACCTGTGTCTCCTCTCCTAGATCGTGGGCTGTCTCTGGCATCTCAGCCCACACAGTGCTGAGGAACAACGGGATGCAACTTCTAAGAGCAGATTATAAAAGGCCACATGTTCCCTTCTACCTTGTCATGGACAACCTCCCTCAGTGCCCAGCAGAGTGCGGGCAGCAGCCAAGCAATCAGCTGCACCAAGTACCACACACTCAGGCTGCATCCAGCGGCTCTGGCTGTGGCCCCTGTTAACAGAGACATCAGCAGCTGGGGATACAGGGACTGTGACCCCAGGTGAGGCCAGCACAGCTGTCTGGCTACCTCAGGTCAAACTATGAGAGGGAAAACACTATCTCCTCAGACCCCAGTCATCCCGGCAGACCTATGAGCAAGGTCAGCACTGACTGTAGTTTAAGTGTTGAGTTTAGGGTGACCTGTTCCCCACAATCAGTGCGTGGGAGAAATGGGGCCGCTGGAACAGGGAGTGCTGGAACTAAACCCTAAGGAATGTGCCATTGACTTTGATGGAAGGGCAGCAGAGGAAGCCGGAGAGAACCCTAGGGAAACTGGCCAAGAAGCAGAAGCCTGAAGGCAGTTCTGAACACCTGGAGGTGCCAGAAGTTGGTGGTGAGGGCAGGGATGGAGGAAAGAGATGGGGAGGTGGGGAAGGAGGGAGAAGAAAAGAAGATAAAAGGAACAGAGGAAGAGAAGGCAGGAGAGAAGGGAGCGAGGGACAGGGAGGAAGGAAAGGTTGAAAGAGGAGAGAAGAGAGGGATGGAAGAAGGGAGGGAAGGAAGGAGGAAGGGAGGGAGGGAGGGAGCGAAGAAAATACTAGCTAAGGCTTTGATGACAGAACCTTTGTCACATTGGTACCACTGTGACCTGCGGCTTTGTGACAACAAGAACCTACTTTCATGAACTTATAAACTATGTTTCAAACAGAATATTCAAAGTCACAATGCTGCTTCGGGAGCCACGATGAAATACTCGAAGAGAACGGTACATTAAAGGCTGACCTGTTAAACACGAAGGGCTGAGTCTCGCTGCCCCAGGAGATAAACCCACGCTGCTTGTGCTCCTGCGCATAAGACACAGCACAGGGAGCATGGGGATGATTTCCAGGGGTTCTCGCCTGGTCCTCTTCCCGTCCATGTAAATAACTCCCAACAAATCAGCATGACCACAGAAACCAATGCTGGTAGATGAATGAAAACCAGTGACCAGAAAGTTCTGGAGTGACACAAAGAGGCAGGCCCTGGAATGAAACCGGGGAGGCTGGCCTGTAGCCATGTTAAAGTCCATAGTCTGTTCTGCCACTGAGGGTCATGCCTAGGTCTGTGATCCTACTGCAGCCAGGGCTGTGTTGATGTCCATAGCCCATATTATGACCAAAAGCCATGTGAGTGGTTCGTGATCTATGCTGCCACCTGAAACCATGCTGATGTCTGAGGTCCGTGCTGCTGCAGGGGGCCACGTTGGGGCCCGTGGTCCTGCTGCAGCCGGGACTGTTGATGCTGGTGGCCTGTGTTTCTACCAAAGGCCAGGAGGATGTCTGTGCTCTGTGCTGCCACCGGAAGCGTATGAGAAAAGGGGATGAAGAAGGCTTCTGGGATAACCTCTACTCCCAGCCCAACCAACCCCTGAACATGTAGCAGACAGAAAGTCATCAAAGAGAACTCCTAAAACTGGTGATGAGAAGGCTGAAGCTAGCTCTCCACAGCTGATGGCTTCTGGAGTGGGTAGGAGTAAGGACTCAGCTTTCTTGAAGGGAATGGGAGTTAGGCCATGCTCCAATGAGCCTATGGGCAACACAAATTTGACTCTCCTTCTCCTTCCCCTTCTTTTTTCCCTTCTCCTCCTCCTACTTTCTCTTCTTCTTCTTGGGAGGGAAGTCACAAGGGTGGGGTTGCAGACCTGGGAGGACCAGGAAGTGAATGAGATTGGAATGTGTGCTGTGAAATTCCCAAAGAATCAATACAAATATGATGTTGGCGAGGATGGGGAGAAAATGGGGAGGTTGGGGATGTGTGGGGTTCAAATAGTGTCAAGTTCCTGTGGCTTGTTCAGAGAGCTGCATGACCACAGGCAGGGAGCCCTTGTGCCTCCATCTGGAGGGCACATGGGGACAAGCAGGTGAATGAGGGACCAGAGGGGAGAAAGCAGAGGAGGAGAACTGGCTAGCTTCCTGTTCAGAATCGCTGTCTGGATTTGGGTTGTACTGTGAAGTGTGAAGCAGGCAAAAAGAAAGTAGAGCAGTGATCCGAGCTCCCATTGTGATGGTCAGTTTGTGTCTCTTTGTGTGACACAGTTTGCTAGTTCCTTTGGTAACTAACACAGTGACTAAACTCTGGACCTATCTAAGAGGGAAGATACATTTTGGCTCAGTTTCTGAGGGGTCAGGCTGTCGTGGCAGAAAGGGATTGTGGGGGTGGCCAGACAGAGCAGGGCTCTTATGATGGCCAGGAAGCAGAGAAAGGAGATGCTACAACTGGCTGGCATCCTCTTTCCCACACTCTGGATGGGCTCTCCGTCTGTATCATGGCGTTACTGGCATTTAGAGGTCTTCTCCCCACGGTCGATTACCTGTAGAAAGACCCTCAGACACACCACTGGTGCGTCTCCACCTCCTAGATGATTTCAGGTCTCATGAAGGTGACAGTGAGGATGAACAGCCACAGTCTGACCCAGTGATGAGGTACCTTCACAGTCAGCTGACCGGTACGACTAAGTGCATCTCCGACGGTGTTTCCACTGTGGTTAATATTTGTGCTGATGAGCCCTCCCCAGTGCGGTGGAAAGACCAGCCTAGCAAGGGTCAGAAGGAACTGGAAGAGGAAGAAGTGACACCGACCCTCTCCTATTTGACTAGGGGTCATACCAGTGTTCCTCTGGCCTTTGGTCTTGAACCTATGTGGTTATGAAAACTGGTCCCCCCACCTTACTCTCCAACTTTTATCTAACCAAGTAAATGGCTATTAAGACAAAACAAAAAAATCAGGGAGGGGGGAGAGACAATATAACAGAATCCAAAGTCTCAGAACATAATGATAACAGTCTCTGGAATTATCTGACATTTAAAGCATCGAGTCCACGTGAGTCACTGTGAAGAAGAGCCGCTGAGATGAATCAGCCCCGAGATGAGCAAATGCTGGGATTACTAGACAAAAGCTGCTATTTTTAATGGTGATGTGTGCAGAAAAGGAAAATGTTCTCATATTGGATGGAAAGAGAAAAAACACTGCAAAGGGAAATTTTTTAAATCATTACATTTATTTATGTAGAGTGCATGTGTGTATCTCGCAAGTACAGAGGTCAGAGGACAACCTCCGGGGTCAGTTATCTCTAGCTACCCTGTGGGTCCCGAGGACCAAACACAGGCTGTCAGGCTCATCCGCAAGCACCCTTACTTGCTGAGCCAGTTTGCCAGTCCAAAGGGGGGGAAATTGAACTCGAAAAAAAAAAAAGAAAAGAAGAAAAAAATGAAGCAGTCACCTGGTGGAGGAAAGAATGAGCGTTTTATAGTTAGAAACACCAGACCCACCCAGTGCACAGGAAAGAGGAAATGCAGAGTACCTCAGGAACCCAGGGAGGATTAAAAAAAAATCATAGATGTAAGGAGAAACAGTGGGTCCAGGAGGAGATAAAACAAATGTCGTCAATGTCATCAAATTTCATGAAAGGCGATGCTCAGAGACCCACGAATTAGACCCATCCACAGGAAACCACATCTAGACATATCAGAGTCAAAGAGCTAAAGCACAAGTTAAAAAGTTAGCATTAACCAGTGCCGCATTTGTGTGTGTGTGTGTGTGTGTGTGTGTGTGTGAGAGAGAGAGAGAGAGAGAGAGAGAGAGAGAGAGAGAGAGAGAGAGAGAGAGAGAGAATATTCTCTACTTGGCTAAATGGTGAGACTAAAGCGACTTGCAACCCCAGAACTAAGCATCTTTCCCTCCATCCTTGCCTTCCCTGCTCTGTAAAGGTTGGCCCCTGAAGATGTTTCTCCATCGCCTGCCATTCTCTGCCTCATTCTCCTTGGCTACCCTAGCAACGGTCAGATCTGGACTGAAAATGCTTTAATCTTCCCAGGACCCTGAGGGAAGAACCCCTGTGGGTGCCCCAGCATCCAAGCAGACGATGGCTCTAATTGTCGCACCAGGGAATCCCCTATTTCAACTTTTCCTCCCAAATTAAAAAAGCCTATACTAGGGGCTGGAGAGATGGCTCAGCAGCTAAAAGCACTGGCCACTCTTCCAGAGGACCCCAGGTTCAATTCCCAGAATCCATATGTCAGCTTACAACTCTCTGAAAGTCCAGTTCCATGGAATCTAATATGCCCACAACAGGCATATATACAGGCAAAACATCAATGCACATGAATTAAAAATAAATATATTTTTATAAAACGTCTATACTGCAATGGAATTGTTCATATCCTTGTCTGCCTTTCCCTTCATTGGTATGGTAGAGGAAAAAGACAGAAGAACCCCAGTGTCTTAGTCAGGGCTTCTCTTACTGTGAAGAGACACCATGACCACGGCACCTCTTATAAAGGAAAACGTTTAATTGGAATGGCTTTTAGTTTCAGAGATTTAGTCCATTATCATCATGGCAGGATATGGTGGCATGCAAGCAAACATAGTGCTGAGAGTTCTACATCTTGATCCTCAGGCAGCAGAAAGAAACTATGAACCATATGGGGGTAGCTTGAACCTATGAGACCTCAAAGCCCATTTCCACAGTGGCACACTTCCTCCAACAAGGCCACACATATGCTAACAAAGTCACTCCTAATAGTGCCACTCCCTATGGGCCAAGTATTGACATCCATGGGTCTATGGGGGGCATTCCTATTCGAACCCCCCCCCCCAGTGTACATGATCTCAAAGCTCCAATCAGAAATAAAGACAGGTCCAGCATGATGGGACGCATAAGATCCTAGTGCTGGAGAGACTGAGACAGGAGGATGACAAGTTCAAATCCAGTCTGGGTACATATAAGATCTTGTCAAAGAAAAGGAAGGAGGAAGAGGAAAACAGAGCACAAGGTGGAAGAGTGAATCTGTACTCAAATATCAGCTGAGTACAGACTCTGGTGAGAAGTAAGAGTTCATCAGAATGGACTTTTGAAAAACAGGCCATGCCTGTGTACTGTCTAGTAGAGATACATTATTTAAAAAAATATTTATTTCAATTATTTATATTCATGTATGTCTGTGGGTGGGTATATAGATCTAAGTGCAGTGCCCTTAAAATCCAGAAGAGGCATCAGATCCTCCAGAACTGAGTTACAGGGGACAGTGAGCTGCCTGCTGTGAGGGCTGGGAAACAGCTCAGGTCCAGCAAGTGCAGCAAGTTCTGGGCTGGAGAGGTGGCTTGGCAGTCAGGCGGTCAGACTGCTCTTGTGTCCACAAGCTCACACCCATCTGTAACTCCAGTCCTAGTTCTGAAACCTGCAGCCCAGAGGTCTACCCCGAGAACACAAAGAGGCAAACTCGACCCAGAAGAAGAAAATGAAAGAGAGGAATCAAACGGGAAACCAACAGTAAGAGGAGAGACAGACACTAGGAGAGAGGATGAAGCCAAGTTTGAAAAGATGGAGCAACTGAAAACAGGTGAACCAAAAGAACAAAACAGCACAAACCAAAAACACTGTTTCTCTTCTTACATGCATCCAGAGGGCAACAAGAACGGGAGTGAAGAGCTGCCAAGCCTTAAAAAGATAATGTGACAAACGGTTTTATGCCATTCAGATTGACAGTTATGGGAAGAGGAGAAATTCCTTTAAATAAAATACAGCTTGCCAAAAAGTGAGCTATCAGAAGACAAAAACTCTCTCCTTTAAAATTACCGTGTGTGTGTGTGTGTGTGTGTGTGTCCGTGTGTGTGTGTGTGTGTGTCCGTGTGTGTCCGTGTGTGGGAGTGTTCATGCACATGGTTGTGTGCCTATTCCATGTTCACACAGTGCCCTCTGAGGCAGGCGGTAGATCCTCTGGATCTGGAGTTACAGGTAGGTGTGAGCCGCCTGATTTGAGTGTCAGGAACCGAACCTGGGTCCTCTACAAGCCAAGAAGGGTTCAACGGCTGAGCCATCTCCCCAGCCCTTGAATAGTTACTTTTTAAAACAACTTTTCCATTAAAAACAAATAAATTGGGTGCTCAGCCTTCAACTCGGTCCTGCCTCAATTTGATGTGCCAAGCTATGTTCAAGCCCAAGGGATACCTGCCCCTTTCTGAGTAGAACCAGAGGAGAAG